AAATGGGTGTTGGATTTTATCAAATGCCTTTTCTGCATCAATTGATATGATCATGTGGTTCTTCTCCTTTGTTTTATTTATGTGGTGGATTACATTCTAATCAGCAAGTTTTTGTACTTATGCCAAAATAAATATTTAATGTTGTTACTGGCCATTGAGTTGATTTCAACTCACGGTGACCCTATAGATTCTGGTTTTATAAAGCTACTGTTAACAAAAACTATATTTGTTTTTTTAAGATATGTATGTTTTATGCACTACATAAATAGATGTCATTGAAATGTGGCTACAGAGAGTGTCTAACACTCTATACTTTTATTTTGACAGATTTCCATCATTGTTCTATTTAAAATGTAATGAAGAGATCTGCCAGGTCTGGAACTGCCATAGTAGCTTTTTTTACTGGATTATGTGCTTCAAGTTCTCTTCAGGAATATTGTTGGTTTTATGATTTTTAGTAATAGGAATAGTTTTAGTAGCAGTAGTAGTTAACATTTGAGCACTTACTACGTAACTTCTAAACCAGTTAACCTGTTTTTGCTGTGGAGGTGATTCTGACTCATGGTGACCCCATGTGTGTCAACATAGAACTAGGCTCCATAATGTTTTCAAGGCTGCAACCTTTTGGAAGCAGACTGCCAGGTCTTTCTTCTGGGGCACCTCTAGATAGATCTGAATCACCAACCTTTCAATTAGTAGTCCACCACTTAACTGTGTATGCTACACAGGGATCCAACAATTAATACTTACGTGCTTACTAAGTAACTTCTTAGGTATGCTATATGTAAAATTTCACTATGAAAGAACTTCAAAATATCTTACCTTCAGGCTGTTCTGGCAGTGTCAGTGTCAACCAGCTCATATCTACACTGAACTGGCTGGCAACACTGGAGTTTCTGCTGCCAAAACCATTATATGGGATCGTACCAATCACTAATGGCAGCTCCAGCATCAATTTTTTAGCACCAGGAATGTGAATATACACCTAACATGGCAAAGAGAGATGGGGATATTAGTTAAACCTCACTGTAGACGGCCCAACAATTTCTTTTTTCACTGAAACAAAATATCTTTGTTACTTGCCACCCTCTTAACATAACTGGAAATTGTGCTGGCCACACAAAATGAAGAGCAAGCAAAATGAAGAGCACACAAAATGCAGCAAATGTTCTGCTCCCAGGGATCTGGGACCTTGTTGTTGTTGTTGTTGTTATGTGCCGTCGAGTCGACCCCGACTCATAGCGACCCCTCCTTGGGTTTCCGAGGCAGTATCACTGCGGAAGTAGGATTGCCCAACCTTCCTTCCGAGGAGTGGCTGGTGGGTTTGAACCGCCAGCCTTCTGGTTAGCAGTCAAGTGCTTTAGCCACTATGCTA